AAATAGGTGAGACTAATGTATGCCATAATAAATGCATAAGGCTAATGAAACTTTTAAAAGGATTTGAGGGAAAGGAAAAATAGTGGAGTGGAAGGGAAATTCAAGGTAACCTGATCGCCACTTCAAATAACTCTAAGCCAGTCTGTCCTTTTAAGAGTTATCCTGCTAAAAACATATCATATAGGGAAGTGAATCATACAAACTATATACTTTGGATACCTTTCCTCTCTTCATACTACAATACACTTTGTGGATTTTCTTTCAACTCTTTCCATATAGATATCTTCACTGTTTCACACTATGGGAAAATACCTGAATAAGCAAAGGCAAGATTTCTAACTTTCACACAAAATATCAGTTATTCTAAATTGCCAATTCTTAAAAATCAGCTTTATAAACTTTGAAATATGCATATAAAACCATAAAGCATTTCCCCCCCTCTTCCCTACCCCTGTTTAGGGCATTTGCCTGCCATTTCAACCAACACATCTATTATTAATCGAGTAAAAAAAAACAACTCATGCTGGGTGATATATTTAATATTCTAATTTGAAACAACTAAGAAAATGCTTATTGGATTCTTCTGGCTCACCTAAACCACTGAACAAGCTCCTGACAAATTCACCCCTACATTTCTCATGTAAAATGTGGCTTGTCTCTATTTGAAAGCACTTATGTAACAACACACGGACAGGTTAAGGGTTGCTACTAAAACAATCTTAGTTGCACAGTTGGCCATATTTTTCCAATACACCTGTAAGATCCTTCTAAAATCTGACTCAGGGACCTCCCTGATTATAAAACAAAAAGAATACACACACACACAAATGTCATTAATCAGCCTGACAGATTTTACTCCTGATTAAACTGAAAGTTAACCAGTAGGTATGGAATCCTGTAACAAAGTTCATTACAATGGTGCATTAGAAAGAGCACAGGACAGGACAAGAAACTTGGGTCCCTATTCCCAACTCTGCCCGGCCCAGACTAATGCTGTATAAGGCCCTTTAATTCTCTGTGCCTCAGTTTCCTTAGCCATAAAAATAAAAGTATAGCATTAGATGAACTCTAAATAGCTCTTATTTATGGTTCTTCAAGTTTAAAGCTACTGAGTATCTATTTCACTTATAGATGGCATCTTAGGTGATAGTATCCTGATTATACACAGTTCCTGTCCTCAAAAGGTTAATATATAGTTGAGAAGATAAAACATTCAAACATCAATTCCACTCAGACAAAATTTGGACTAAATTCCACTACTGGCAAAAATACCATCTTCCTCCCCCTCTCATCCCCTAGACTCCCAAATATAGTCAGAGGTTTTTTCAATTAACATAGAGAAGAAAAATTCTCATTTGAAAATCTCCCAATGATTTCTTCCAATAATTTTTTTTTACTTTTCCCTCTGAATATTAGCAAAATATACCCACTTAAAAGTGTGAAATATCTGTAATTGGTGACAAATAAATATAAACAGAGTACTGAAAAGAACTAAAAACCAAATCTGCAGGTCAAGAAGCATACACCAATTTACCTATCGACTACCATTTGGAGATTTCCTGGCAAAGGAAATGTTTACATCTAACATGTTCAAAGACTATGGTGCTACAATAAAACATGTAAACATCTGTGGCATTTAATTCAGCATTTGAAAGAAATGAAATTTTAGAAAAGTTACGGATCAGTCAATATGTTTTACTATATTATCTTGATTTCTGTGGAAATTATACTATACAAGTTTATTGAAATTTAGCATTGTCATTGTGAATTCTAATAATAGGTACAAACAGGTTAGGACAAACACTGAAAGAAAAAGTGTTTCAAAATTACTAAAGTTAAAATGAAACAAAATTTTACAATGCCAGAAAAAGTATTTTCTCCTGTGAAAATCACTTTCAAAAGTGTAACAGGCTATTGTGAAGATTAAATGCATTTATACACGTTAAGCACATATAACAGTACCTGGCACATGCAAGCACTCATCAGGCACTGGCTAGCATTAACTCTAAATTGAATGTAGCTCTATCATACATAAAAGACCATGATAAAACATGTAAGTTAACATCAGATGATTCAGGCAACTACAGAAAAGTACATGGTGTACGAAAGGAACATTTAGAATTCTGATGCGCACTCTGAAACCTGGAGTAAAAGAGAAATTTTAAATAATTTAAATACTCTAACACAAATCTACAAAAATTAATCATGTGCATTGATTTATATTAACTTAAAAATAAAAATGCAAGTCAAATTACACGACTGATTTGGTCAAAATGAAATGATTTCTTTTTCTGTCTTGCATCTTATGTTAGTCATATATTTTTATGTTAAATATTTTTTAGTGCTTGAAACTTAATCTCACTATAAAGACTAGATCCTATCAAATCATGCTAAAAATCCAATTAACACATCATTAACAATTGCCTTATCTTCCCAAGGGTGAATTATAGTACTAAAAGATATAACAACAAAAGAAAGTATAGCCATCTTTTCATAAAAATAGGCAAAGTTTAAGTAAATTCTAAACTTCCACAAAATTAATTTGTAAAACCAGTTCCCCTTTTTAAAGAAAACTAAGTAGTTGAAAATTTCCATTGAATTTTTTGTAAGAATGTCTCATGTTTAAATAGAAAGCTAGAGTTTAAAAAACCTTAAATCCTTACTTTGCACAAGACTCTATGCTAAGTACATGTGTCCCATATGTTTAACGAAAACATGTTTAGATTTGCAGTGATTATGAAAACAAATTCACTGTCTAATAGTGGTGATCTTCTGGATGAAATGTAAATAGTAAAAGTTTTTAATCAAATCAGTCCCTACCACACAGTTCACACTCTAATATTTGTTGAATGAATGAATGAATGAAATCTTATTTAAAATATTTTACAGCCATTTAAGTTACATAAACAAAAACATCCAAAGCAATATTCTGACATACACAACTTAAACTAAGAGTCAAAGTAAAAATTAATTTTAAGTTGGAAAACAATTCACTAAAGTAATCATTACAGAACGGCTAAAAGTAGGAGACAAAATGAATACAAATAATAGTTTCAAAAATTTTTTGCAGAATTACTTTAGACATTATTTTTCAAACACTCTAAGAATACATACTGCAAATACACGGTACAAACATAAAACTAAAACTTTACATTCACCTAACTTCCAATGTTGCCTCATTCGTGTGATACATGCACTTCCCTCACTTTAAAATTAAAAGCTCAAACCAGTCAGATATTGGGATAAACCCTAGTGAGAAAAACAAAAAACAGGTCTTCAGATGCAATCTCACTGGTGAACTTTCAAAGTCAAGACTATGTATCGGCAAAGGAAAAAAAATCTACAGTCCTGACTTCTATCTTGCAAATAATTGTGCATCCTGTCATACACCTTAAAGCTAGTAATACTAATAAGTAGATATTCCAATAAAAGATGTTTTCACGTTTTAGACAACCACCTCCTGTAATATTCCTATTCATTTACACATATTTCGCCATGACAAGTTCTGAAGACACAGTTTCCTAAACCATCTTTATGGAATTCTTCCTCCTTTGGCTTTTTCAACTATTTTCCAACAATGCATAACCTAATTTAGTGACTTTCCATCAAAAACAAAGCCCAGTAGTTGTCTAATGATTTACAGTCCACTAAAAGATATTACATGACCATGCTTTAGCAAAGATGGAACATATATCTAAATTGATGATTTGAGGCAGTTGCCAACGCATTAACTACAAAAAAAGGCACTATTCCACATTCTTTAGCTTCATGATGAACTAAAAAAGTGTGAACATTTTATTGACACCAGTAATTAATATAGATACCTGGGTTTCACTGTTGAATTTCTACTTGGAAACGTTATCCATTACAAACTACTGGGCTTTCAACCAATTACCACACTGGTGAAACGTGTTGGTTTTATTTTCATAACATTATTTGATGGAAGAAACGTGAGTATGTCAGCCTTGACTTATGGGTAAACATTTCCTCTGCTTTCAGAAGATAAACAGTAAATACCGGTATTGAAAACAGGGCCCCAAAGAAATTCAATCTAGCCTAACTGTAGATTCCCGGGAAATCCCAAACAAGGGGTGCCCCCGCCTAGGAGTCAGGGTGAACACAGCAACCAGCTCCGCTTCAACTTTGGGCTCAGAAGGGCCCCACTAGCATCATGGCTGATGCAGACCGATGCGCAGGAGAAGGTGGACTAGGAAGAGGCTGGTTTGTTTACTTGCAGCCAGAGCCGCCGCCGCCGCCGCCGCCGCCGCCGCCGCCGCCAGCAGCGACAGCATCACTGGATCCGCCAAAGCCAGCATCTTCCGTACATTTCTATTCTTAGCACACAACTCCGGAGCGGATCAAAACCCCACTACTATTAAAAACACAGACAAGCACGTTCCCCACCTCCCACACACCCCCACCCGACCAGGGCCGTCTCTTCCTGTGCGCCGGCGGCGAAGTGGGGGGGGGGGCGGTGTGGAGAACAAGACCCCGGGGGGCCGTCGCATCCCTGCCTTCCCCCACCCACGCGCACACAGCCCCCTCCCCCACCCAAACGCCCTGACACAGGCGCTCCCCGCGTTACATAACCCCGCCGCCACCCCAGGCCGAGCGGGCCCCCTCCCCTAGCCGCCGGCCGGCGAGGAGGGTGAGCGGGCTGTATCGAGAGTGGCGCAGAGACCAGAGGCGCCGGGCCCGGGCGGCCCAGACCCGGACCGCATCGCTAGGCCAGGAACACCCTCCCCGGCCCCCGCGCACCGCCGCCTCAGCTTCCCTCAGCAAAGTGAGGGGTGCGGTCTGTCCGCGCCGGGCATCCCCGGCCTCCGCACCCGCATCCCAACCCCAGCCCCCTGCGACCCAGCTCCCGCCCACGCCCCCGGCGCGGTGACAAGCCGGACACCCCCACCTCATTCACCCACCGCCACCCCCGCCCGAGGGGGGTCCGGAGGGAGAACAGGCGCGGCGGGGAGAGGGCAAGAGTGGGGGGCGGTGGCTGTTACCTGCAAAGGCGGCGGCGGCGGCCCCGCAGCTGCTCGGGCGGCGGCGGAGGATGGAGCCGGGGGGCGGGGGGAGGAGAGGGGGCGACTCGGGGGTCCCCCTCCCTCCTCCTCCCCTCCTGTCCTCCCCCCACCCCGCAGAGCCTCTGGCCCCCCTGGAGCCGGTGTGGCCGGCGGGAGGGCAGGCGGCGGGCTGCAGGGGAGGGAGGGAGGGAGCCGGCCGGGCCGCGGAGCTGGAGCGGGAGGAGGCGGAGGCGGAGGCGGCGGCGGCGGCAGCGGCGGCGGCGGCGGCGGCGGCGGGAGGAGGGAGGCGGCGGGGGGAGGGGGCGGAGACTCTACGTGGGAATCGGATCTCGGCTACAAATTCAATTCATCACCAGAAAACTCCGCTCGGGCGGGGGCCGGGTCGCGCCGGCGAGGCGAGGCGGCGGCGGGTGGAGGCTCTGGGCCCTGGCGGCCTGGCGCGGGTCGGGGGTCTGCGGCCTCCTCTCGGGCTGCGCCCCGCTGGGGGGCCCGCCGCCGCCTCCCCGCCCCCTCCTCCCTATGGGGCCGCCGCTGATCAGCTCTCGCTACCGCCGCCGCCGCAGGCTTGTTGTTGACTTTGAGGAAAACTCCTGACGTCAGGGGCTGGCGCACGGCGACTGGCGGGAGCTGTTTCCCCGCGTCCCCAGCCGGCCCGCCGCCTCTGCCCCCTCCCCGCGGGCCCCCGTCCGCGGGCTTCCCCGCGCCCCCAAGCCCGCGGCGGCCCGCGCCCCTTCTCCTCTCGCGAGAACACGCCCCCCCTCCCCCCCCAGCCGAAGCCGGGAGCGGGGCGTCGTTCCTGGGCGGGAAGTTGTGGGTTTTCCCCGCGCCCTCGTGGCGCGCTGCGGGCACCCGAGGCCCGGCAGGGGAGGCTCTTCTGCCTTCCGCGCGCAGCCAGGCCCGGGGCTTTTCCCCCCGCCCGCCGCAGCTCCAAGGAGGTCAAGCCGGGCGCGTGAGGGGCCCGGACCTGAGGCCCCAGAGATGGGCGGTGCCCTGTGGGGGCGCGCCCCGGAAAGCTTGGAGCCGGGCGGGAACCGACCCCACCCCTCTGCACCTCAGAGGTCAGTCCAGAGTCTGACACCGTTCCTGACTCCTAGGAGACCTTATCGTCCAGTCTAGAACACCTCTCTCGGAAGAGCCATCCTCCCTGGGCTTCCTGTAAGCAGTCACCACACATAGTGTACGGCTTGCATTAGCATCGTAATTCAACCTTAAAATTTCACACTTTTTAGAGACGGTAGTTTTCATTGACTTTGGGGAAGCCATGATGTATTGCACTCACTACGAAGAAGATAGATAGCATTTCTTTCTTTTGAAGTTCATGGCTTCTGAGGATATTTGCAATGGAAACACTTTTTTTTTCAAAATGGCCAATTTTTTTTTTAACTATACATCATACTCCATAAAGTTATAAAAGAAGTTTACTTCTTCTGACACCATGTATTATTGCTTCTGGAACACTTTGAAAAAACCGTATTATTTCACCACGTGGCTCTAACCTTGATGGTGTACCTGTTATTTCTCCCAATGCAAGATTCTTGTTAGTGCTTTTAGCTTCTTTCTTTAGAAGAGTGATTCCTTCTGACGCGCACTTCCTACTCTTACCATGTCCTGACAACATTGGGATGGTAGTCATTCTTTTACACTATATCCCTGGTATTTATATAGGGAGTTGTATTTATATATCTATGTCCACACCTTTTATGAAATGCATATCTATTGGGATTGTGGACAGGGATATGAAACCTAATTAAAAAAGGAAGTGCTTTTTAAGTCGATTTTCTCCATTTGTAAGGGAAGCACTTCTCTGACCATTTCAGAACAAAATTTGCCATTTTAATATATACAATCCACCCGAGAGTAAAAGTCCTCAATTGCTGCTTTTCTCCGTCTTCCGTATTTCCCAGCGTGTCATGAACTGATTAATAAATATACACTGTCTCCTAATTCTATTTATCTGTGTATAAAATATAATTTATTACCATAATTATCAGACCTCTAACAGTCCCTATTGGCAAAGTGATTCCGTTACAGATTTCTTGCTTGGAAGTAACAAAAATTGGTCAGATTTTAATTCTATAATAACCCAACCCACTTTTTATTTTTAAGAAAATAGTCACTATGACACCAGCGCTAAAAAGAGTGTCTCAAAAGCTCTTTTAAATACTTAACTCTGAGAGTGGTGATATTCTGAATTACCAGATATCTCTTACCAACTGCAATTTTCATTTGTTTCCAGTTTTAACATCAACATATTTGTGAGAACCAAATTTGTCTTATGAGCCATACTGCCTCAAAATATTTCTCCATCTCATCAGATTGTATTAAATCTTAACTGGATTAAACCCTAAAAGTAAATATTGTATAAACTACAATGTATTATATACTCTGGGCTTCATGTATTTGAAAAGTTGTAAACTTCTATTTCTTCTGTGTTTTGTACTTCTACTCTAGTAGTTTCATCAATTTCTGTAATAAAAGCATATCAGTTTTTATTATACAATTATTTATTATAGAACTATTATTTACTTAAGTACCATTGTTCTTTCTCTTAGACTGTGCCATCATGAATTTTGGAGAATCTGCCAATTGTGATATGATGGTACTTCATACACAGTGTATGCTAGAGATCTCTTCGTTGTCATCACTTTCCAGTAATATGGGCAGCAGGAACATGTTCATCCATGGGAATGTCCCTCCTAAATTTTGGAGACAAAGCCCTCATTCTTTATTAAGCCAGAAATTCTTAAGACTAGTATCTCTCAGTAGTAGTTACTTATGCAGCTTAAATATTCACTCTTCTTGACTACCAATGAATAAATTAGATACTGAGAGCTATTTGTTAGTACTTCCACCATTTCTTGGGAGTAACTTAAACTAGAAGGTACATTTAGAATTTCAGGACATCAGGTAACAAAAATTAAGTTACTGCCTCTCTGCCTTTATAACAAGGGTATCTTGTCTCCAGTGTCCAGAACAGAACATGACACAAAGTATGCACAAAATGTGTTTGTTGGATAAATTAATGAATGAATGGGCAAATAACTCTTTGTGTCCTATGTGCAGTTTATACTGTACTCTCCTCTTGGGATGGCTTATTGGAAAGATCATGAACACACTTTGGAGACTTGGAGATCTGAGTTCAAATCCTCCCTCTGCAGAATTGAGGTCTCAGGCAAGTTTCTTAACTTTTCTAAGCTTTAATTTCCTCATTTGTGCAACGATGATTACAACTACTTCAACAGCTTATTATGAGAATTAAATGTGATGAAATATTAGATAGTATCTAAAACATAGTGAGCGATTAGCAAGCTAAAATTCCTTTACCATAAACATGAATATATTTGTTAACACTAGCTGCTACAACAAATAAATACAAAAATCTATCCTGGCACACAGCAATAGAAGTGTATTTCTCATCCATGTAAAGTTCAGAATGGCAGGCAAGTCTCCTCTAGGCATTTATAGGAATAAAGTTTCTTCCATGTTAGAGTTCTGATGCATTCAATACATAATCGCAACATCAATCTGGCAGAAAGGGGCAAAACATGGAGGATCACTCAAGGAAGGTTTTGTGCACATCACTTCCATTCCCATTCCACTGGCTAGAACACTCCCAAGCCACCAAACTACAAGGCAACCCATGAAATGGAGTCTAGCCCAGGAAGAAAAAGAAATTAGTTTGATGAACAGCCAGCAGTCTCTGCCACAGTTGGTTTCTGAAATAACCATGCTAAGTCTATAGCTGTAATTAATGAATATTCTAAATGATTAATAGAGCAATTTCCAAAAGAACATAGTTTAAATCCAGGTATAAGTAGCAGAAGAGTAAGTTACAATAGTTATCGATACTGTCTTTTCTCTTTTTTACAGCTATCTTTCTTAAGGTATAGGTCTGTATTAGTAACATGAGAATACCTGAAGAACAGGTATGTCACTAATCTGTTGCCATGTGCAAAGGGGATACTTAAAGCTCTCTGGAAACCTCCCTCTTGTTTTATATTGGCAGACTTGTTTTCCTGCTGTGTTACTAGAGTGTGAATGAAAAATTTTTCATTCATATTGTCATGTTCTCTCTTAGATGGCTAAGTCTGTTAGCAACTTAAGCAATCTCTGGACATTATATTTAGTATTTCAGAACACTTGGGTCACAGAAAGTTACCACAATTAAATAACTGCTCGTGGAGAATTGACCTAGAATTCATGTTCTGATTCCAAAGCAACAAGCATACACATTATTATTCGGACTGCGGGTGAATAGAGGTATGCAATAATACTAATACCTACATATTTTAATCCCAGAGCCTCATTTTAGGATATAATTTTAACTTCCTGAGGTGGTGTGCATTTCCTGTTTCAGAACCTGCTCTGTGAGGACTCAACTTCTTAATACAACTGCTAGCAGTGAAATAATGACAGTAAATTTCCAACCCTCACCTAGGTAATTACCTCAACTCCTTCCTCAGTTATCTCATGTAAATTCAGTTCTGTTCCAGAAAGTTTCCCCATCAATTTTAAAACACAACTTCTTCTACTAGTGAAGAAGTAATAAAGTACTAAAATACTTTCCGAGTCAACTGGAAAGCTTCAGATCTACACCTGACTTTTTTTTAACCCACTACAAAGTCCTTCAACTGTTGAATTTGTAATATTTCATTAAATAGTACTAGTTTGCTTTTTATAGTAAGAGGAAATTCAGTATCAGAATTTTTCTATCGACCTTTAGTTCCTAGATAGAACTATGGCCACTTTCAGCTGCAAACACTATCTCAATCAGAAGTTAGATTTTAAACAAAACACTGAATTTGATTTAGAATTCAAGCCTTCTTTAGGCTGAAAGCCTGTATGGGGAAAACAGGCAAACTCAGCTTCTCTATTTCTCCATCTCGTTTTCCTCTTACCCCCCACAAGTCAGTCTCTGGATGAAGGACAAAACAATTCTTATCTAGCTGGTAACGTTGTTATCCAGTTTTGCACTCTCTTGGCCTGACACACAGAACCCCCCATAGGATTTACAGGACCCAGTGCAAAACGGAAATGCTGGGTCCCTTGTTGCAAAATAATTAAGAATTTCAAGACAGCAAAGCAGAGGATTAAACAAAGTACAGGTCTCTGTGCACAGGTCTGCACAGGTCACTGGCCCATGAAGCTACTGATATGTGTTTAAGGTCGGCTCTCCAGGGTCTCTTTGGAGAGCTGCTTCTGGGCTTCTCTAATTGCAACCCCTACAATGTGGGTAATGCACCTTTCCTTTTAGCTGTCCACTCCTAATCACCCCTCAGCTCCTGTTTCCTCAGCCCTGTTGTATCCTCCCTACTGGAGTCCTTTCACCCTCTGGCAGAAGGTCTCCTAGGCAGGACTCAAGATGGCTCCAGCCAGCTCCTTCTCTCCCATGGGACTTCACCTGGTCCTTGGGAAATACTCACACATCCTTTGCCCTGTAGGCCATTCTCTCCCTCTTGATTCTGCCACAGAAACAGTTGGGCAACCTGCTTCCCAGTTTCTACAGAATCCCTTCATTGCAGGGAACAAACACATCCCAAGCTCTCACAAGATCCCACAGAAGCCCATGGAAGCCCCCTGGCATGAGCTGAAGAAGCATCCTCCATGCCCTCCCCACTGGAGTTGGTGAGTTCAACTTTCTCCAGTAAAATCCCTACACAAATCTCCTCTGTCTCAACTATTTTATATTCTTAAAGTAAATAAGAGCATTTGAGTTGCAGAATAGGCTTTGAATTATTTCCTTCATGATAGTTACCTAACTTGAAATTTCATACTTTTTTGTATTGGGGGATTTCAGTTAAAACTTCAGTTTTGGGCTTCCCTGGTGGCGCAGTGGTTGGGGGTCCGTCTGCCGATGCAGGGGACGCGGGTTCGTGCCCCGGTCCGGGGGATCCCACATGCCGCGGAGCGGCTGGGCCCGTGAGCCGTGGCCGCTGAGCCTGCGCGTCCGGAGCCTGTGCTCCGCAGCGGGAGAGGCCACAGCAGTGAGAGGCCCGCGTACCGCAAAAAAAAAAAAAAAAACTTCAGTTTTAAATTCCTATTAAAAAGCATATTCTCTCTGTGGTATAAATATTTTCTGTTTCTTATTTAGATGTGTGCTCACTTGTATAAAAAAATTATTAGCTATTACTGAAAAAATAACGTATTGAGGTTAATAGGTGTTCAAGGCACAAAATTAATTAAAATAGTATCTTCTCTACATATGCTTGTATTTCTGTTTGACAAATATGTGACAACAAACTGCCTTTTTCATACATTGTTATCCACATTAATTATATTAAATATTTAGATTCTTGCCTTTGGTTAATTTCTCAGAATTTTTTCTTAAAAAATTTGAACACTATGAAATTTTATGTCTAAAGAGCCTAAAAAGTATAAATATGCCACAAAATCAAAAATAAAAATATAGAAGTACAATTTGTACTAAGAGTTGGTAACTTGGACTAAGGTTACATTGAGCCATGAAACCCCTGTATACTGGCATGAATCTCAAATCAGATGGATTTTTTTAACAGTGTAAGGCTGCCTTGATTTTCCTTTAATGTCTGTGATTACCAAAAATGAGTTCCCTTCCTTTGTTCTATATCAAAGTATAAAAGATTCAGAAAATGATTGGGCTTTGATGTCTAGTTTAAACTCAACTTTATCTTGCTCCATTCAAAGTGCTATTGTGAGCCTTGAGTGTACAAGTCAGAGAATGACAATTTACTAAACACGTCACACATGCCTACAGAAGGTTCTCATTCTATTTCTTCTCTAATAAAAAGTTACTTCCTTCTAGATGCCTGCTTCTAAATATCTGAATTTACATGACATCAGAGTTGCAGGATACCTAGAACTCTTGCTAATGAGCAAACGCTTCTTTAGATGATTCATAAGGGAAAACTGATAAAGAATGAAGAAAAAGGCAAAGTCCCCAACTTTTGTTATTCTTTATGTACTTCCTCCTTAATCATGGGTTATCATAAACTGTTTTTCTGAAATCTCCAGTCAGGGTTTCATAAAACTTATTTGCATGTTTGCCTAGTCCTATTGTCTTCCCTGCTGAAACGTTTTATACCTCAGATCATACAGTTCACATTTTAACATTCATTTCAACTTAATTCCATAAACACTTGTTGACTCTCTATACAAAGGTCTAGAGAGAGATATGAGTACAACCCAGTGCCTACCTTCAAGATGTTCCATTCTATTAGGATACCAACATAAATAAGCACCAATACAAATAAGTGCAATAATAGAAACATATATAAAGGGATAAGAGAACACATCACGGAACAATTAACAGTGGGATGAGATGGACTAAGTCAGGTCAACCTAAAGAAAGAGAGGTTAATGACATTTTAGCTGAGCTTTAAAATGAGGTCAGGGAATTTCCTGGTGGTCCAGTGGTTAGGACTCTGTGTTTTTACTGCTGAGGGCCTGGGTTTGATCCCTGGTCAGGGAATTAGGATTCCACAAGCCACATGGCCCGGCCAAAAAAATTTTTTTTTTTTTTTTTTTTGCGGTATGCGGGCCTCTCACTGCTGTGGCCTCTCCCGTTGCGGAGCACAGGCTCCGGGCGCGCAGGCTCAGCGGCCATGGCTCACAGGCCCAGCCACTCCACGGCATGTGGGATCTTCCCAGACCGGGGCACGAACCCGTGTCCCCTGCATCAGCAGGTGGACTCTCAACCACTGCGCCACCAGGGAAGCCCCCCAAAATTTTTAAAATAAATAAAATGAGGTCAGAAATTGATAAGGCAGGAGGAGACATTCCAGGCAGTGAAAGGAACACAAAGAAAAGCAAGAGAGTACCATCAGGACCTCCAGGAAAAGAAAATGGGTGCAGGGAAGGTTTCAGTGTCATGAAGGCATTTGAGCTGGGCTTGAAGAATAATCATGAGAAAAAATAAGAGAGTCTACATTCATATAAAAGCAGTGGAGAGGGAGAAGAAGGAAGAATCTCCTGAGTAACTTCTGATGTAGAATCATCAGGGCAGAGTGATTAGATGGTGGGCAGAGGGGTAGTGAAAAGAAGAATGAAGAATGATGTCCAGAATTATGCCCTCCTTGCCCTGGGAGGAGGAATGTGCGTGTGCGTGTGTGTGTGTGTGTGTGTGTGTGCGCACGCGCATGCACACTGTGGTGGTTATTGCGTATTTGGGGATGGAGGGTTGTCAAGAGGCAAGGTTATGAGGGAGAAAAGACAAAATGAGCCATTTTTGACATTAAAATTGATGTACACCTGTGAGACTTTCAGGTAGATACAGTAATAAACACAGTAGTCAACATGATTGAGTGCTTACTCTGTGTCAAGCACTGTGCTAAGCGCTCTACATAATGTCAGAGGCATCTGAGGATATGAAAATATGGAGGTCTGGCTAAAAGACTTGGTCTGAAGGTATAGGTCTGCAACCGGTAGTGGGGTAGATGACATCAGGCAGCAATGTGATATAAAAACTGAACCTTGGTAAACGCTAATGCTTGAGGACAGAAGGAATAGAGAAAAAAAATAGCCAAATGAGTAAGGAGAGAAACAGAAGTTATAAAAACCAAGGTAGAGAGAGTTTCAAAAAGGGGGGATGTATTCAGTGGAAATACTTCAGAAGAGTTCAAATAAAAGAGAACATTTGATAAGTTCCTACTGAATTTTACCACTGGGGAGTAAATGGTTACTTTTATGGAAGTAGTTTCATGGTGTAATGGCGATGATAGCTTCACTGAGTTAATGAGAAAATGGCCAATTGAGGAAGAGGGAATAGTGGAGTGATGGGAATAGGAACTAATATTTATTGAAACCTACTATGAGCTAAGTAAGTTCTGTTCTGGCATTTTGCTTAAGTGTGGCAGGATGCTGTCTTGAAATATTAACCATTGTTTTCTGGTTTCTGACTCCCCTAGCTCTTCCTTGCCATCTAGAGAACGAGAAGATCATTGCCTCAGGAAAGAGATGGCAGAGCAGATTGATGAGGAAAGGCTTCCTTTCCTGGCTTTTTAGTTTCAGAAGTCTAGCCCTCAGGGCAAAATGGAAATAACTCTAGGGCTTAAAACAGCAGACTTGGGAGAATATGTGATGCCAAGAGCAAGACCTCGCTCACTCGCTCACTCGATACCACCACCACCACTGGAAAGCTCCTCAGGCTAGCAGTAGGAAGAGGATATGGGAGTAGATGGCTGGGTTTCTGGGGAAGGGCCAGCTTTACCCCCTGCCCTATGGGGCCAGCCCGAGTGAGAAAATGAGTAAATAACCTGGTAACCTTCAAGATTCCAGAAAAAGAGAAAAGTTGTGTTTCGTTCCTTGTGAGAGCATGGATGGATGGAAGGACCAGAGGTTGACTCTTTCCTGTGGTTAATGTAGGCATTCAGCCCCCACAGAACTTCCTGGGACCCAGCATGACTTGGACAGCAACACAACAATTCCTGTGTGACCAGGATTTCTGAGATTTAGGCAGACATCTGAGATCCCCGCGCTCAACTGTGCTGCAGGATTAGCACTGCAGTTCTAGCACATCAGCAGATGACACTGAAGGGACTAAGGGACAGCTCAGTAGCAAAGGGCAATTGAGATGACCGACATCTCAGAGGATGCCAGTGTGTACAACCAAGACTAATAGCCCTTTCCCTTCTCGTGAACTGTTACCACGTAAGCCATTCTCCCCACTGCCTTTGCTCCAGAACCTCATCACAACCCCAGGCAGAAAGGAAGTTTCTAACCACCCAGCCAAATGGAGACTCAATATTGAAACACTTGAATTCAGTTCAGTTCTGGAAACACTTGAAGTTGGGAAATTAAATTCATGCCCACCATATCTATTCTATGATATTCAATTCTTAACCATCATTAAATAGGAATTGCCATTCCCACATTACAAGTGAAGAAATAGATTCAGAGAGATTAAGGAATTTTTTTAGGCTAGCAAGGGACAAAGCCAGGGCTCACACCAAGGTCTGTTTTACACCAAAGCCAGTCTTCTTTCTACCAGACCACTTTGTATTTTCAAAAAGTTTGACAGAGGAGAAGAATAATAACCAGAAGGGGATCCAGGGTGATGAGACTTTTTTTTTTTTTTAAGAATGAGAGAAATTAGACAATATAAATGGGGAAAGGAAAAAGAGCTAGTTGAGGGAAAGACATTGAAAATGAAGGAAAAGGGATTATTTATCAAGGAATGATTCTAAAGGATATGGGAGATAAATAAAGATAAAGGGATAAACCTTGAATGCAAGGTAGGTACTTCTCCAAGGTAAGAGTGAACGTGGAAAGGATTTACATAGATAGAAAGAGTTTTGTAGACAAGTGTGAAAATTCTGACAGCATCAGTGCTTCATGACATGAAGGAGGAAGGGCCAAGTGCAATACCTGTAGGATGCATGTAGGATGCAAACTGAATCATAACTTGCATTTTAGTGCCTTGAACAGAAGGTGGTATATGTCATGCATTTGATTGAGTTCCTTCAACACTGTAGTGGCATTATGCCCAGATCTGCAACCCGTCCTTTGAGGACTGAAGCAGACATTTCTCCAGCTGCTCAGAATGTTGGTCATTGACACTTCTTAATTCCCCTTCCCAGGAATTGTCCTCTACTGAGAGAGCAGGTTTACCCCAGATTACATCCCCTACCCAATGACTGTTCCATCTGGGATGTAAGGTCTAGCCCCTTGCCTCAGTTCAGGAAGCCTATAGGACCATCCATATCCTCAGACTTCTCTACTGCTCCCCCATCATAACACACACACACACACACACACACACACACACACACACACAGAGGATTAACTGAGGTCTTCGTTGTGATTGTGCTGCACTTCACCCTCTGCCCAGTCCTGCTTCCTTCACTCCCCCACAGGAATTCCCCCAAAACTTCCTGCAGGCACTTAACCCATTCTCAGGTCCCTCTGTATGGGGGACATGTCTGCTCCCCCCATGCCAAAAGAGGCCTACTCTGAAGGTGTGGCTTGGGGTTTTCTGGTACTTGCGTGAAGTTTTAGCAAGCTCACTTGTCTGAAGGCCTAAATGCACATTTCCAACTTGTACTAATGTAAAGCTGCTATTTCTTTTCCAATGCCTATCTTTTGTATGTATTTTTCAGTTGGGATCCAAATTCACAAGGAGAGAGAGGAATTATTTTACTCTCTGAAAACTTGGAAGTGGTAAAGAAACACTTTTTAGTGTTTGGGTAAGAAACAGCAAGAATGACAAGGAATGTGAAAAATAAACATGATGTGGAATCTAAGATAAAAAAAATGGTTCCAACATCTAGAAAATGTCCATGAACTCTAGTCCTGTATACAAAGCAGTTCCTACTGAAGAGAAGGAGTGAATCACAAAGGGAATCTACCCAGGCTCCCAGTCATTAGATTTAAATCATTGTTCCTTATTCTCCAGATTTTTGGCTTAATTCAGAAGATTTATAAAGAACCAAGAATGTTGACTCTGTTACAAAGAAGAACTGCAACAGCTTTTTGCTAAAATCAGTCTTACCATTACCTTAACTACATTTTATTACCAAAAGATAAATATGCTAAATGGATCCACATATCAAAACATCTATTATAGGTTTGCAGAAGTGATGTAAGGATGACACTATTTTTATTAAAGCCTATTTTAAAATTACTTTAATTTGACCCCATTTTACCCCAAATTACCCTTTGAGATAATTTTTCAGGCTTAGTCCCAAGTTAAGGACAGCTCTGAAACTTTTTCCATAGCAAGAAATTAAATTAGGTAAGATTTCATTTGTTTTGAGAATGAGCAAGATTCACAAACATTTACACTTTAGACTGTTTCAAGAGTCATATTTTACAGATTTCACATTTAATATAATTCTACTTCTGATATTCATTTTTGTTACTCTACAAACTAACCAGAAGTAATAAGGTTTCAGGAGCTGGAAAGCATGTATTTAGCTTTTCTCATCTGTTTGGGTCAATGTTAGGATTTCTAAGGTACCATGAATGGTGTAGTTAATTATTGATGAAGTGAATCCACAAATTTGTTTGCTGCTTGCCAGTTGTATTGCTTATCTATAATGCTATTACCAGTTTCCTCTAAAGCATGAAGATTTCCTACAAAAATGGAAGCTATACAGTTGTAATTTTTCACCTTTTATAAGATTATGGGGTGCAGGAAATGGGGAAACAGAGAGGCCTTCAACTTCTCCATCTTACGGTAATATTCCTTGCCATCTATGAGGTGAAGAATGTATGAGATAACAGAATGGCTCTGCTCTCAGAGGTGATGATGGGTTTGCTCTGAGCTATCAACACTCATACCTGGGCCTCTTATGATCAATGACACACAATTTGGAGACGGCTGACTGGGGTTAATGGTGCAATCTGTGGCTTTGGAACAGAGTTCTTCTCTATGTGAAACTAATTGGCCCATATGGGGATTAAACTGGTAACAGTGTCCTCATTTGTCAACCCATCTATTCAGCATTTGAATCTGGTTACATTTGAGTACTTCCCACAATTCAACCAATGTATTTTCAAATGATAATATAACCTCAGAAAGAGGAAGAGGTAATTGTTTAAAATATACAAGCTTTTTATCAACCCAAATCACTGTAAGAAAGTCATTATAAATTAAATAATAATTATCCTATTGCCAATTATTCTTAATTGAATATCCCAAGCTGTGGGAAACAGAACAGGAGGTAAGTGTGCTTCTCATTAAGTAACTTATTCCATTGCAAATGCCAGAATTACTTTGAAAATTCCCCAGACATGACTTCAGAGTACCCTCCTCACTGCCCAGGGACTGCTTAGAGGGTTACCATCCCAGCAACCCCAGCTCTTTCCCAAAACATTAGGTTTCAGACTGGGACCTGACCTTTTTCCTCACTTTCTTTTTCTTTGCTTCTATGCTCATCAGCTTTAATCCTGACCCCAGAGTATTTTTTATATCCATTAACCAATTACATGATTAATATGCTGACTTTGCGGGGGAAAAACCACTCTTTGCCACAAAATAGAGGTCCGGCCTTCTATAGAGACTTCCATTCACACTTCAGTTCAATTGAGGACATATCTTGACAATACAGCATACTTTTTAGATCAGCTTAGATTTTTCTCTCTCAATATTCTTTTGATTAACCTGATGCCTTTCTCCAATTCAACTGATGCTTAGTATCCAACTAACACAGACAAAAACAAGTCTCAAGTTGTCAAATTATGTTATAGTAGAGCCTGCAGCATAGTGGAAACAATAAAGTCAAACTAGTAAAATAAAACAGAGAGTGGACTTCCCTGGTGGTGCAGTGGTTGGGAGTCCACCTGCCAGTGCAGGGGACAAGGGTTCGAGCCCTGGTCCGGGAAGATCCCACATGCCGTGGAGCGGTAAGCCTGTGTGCCACAACTACTGAGCCTGCACTCTAGAGCCCGCGAGTCACAACTACTGAGCCCGCCCACTGCAACTACTGAAGCCCACGCGCCTAGAGCCCGTGTTCCGCAACAAGAGAAGCCACCACAATGAGAAGCCCATGCACTGCAATGGAGTGGCCCCCACTCGCCACAACTGGAGAGAGCCCGCGCACAGCAACGAAGACCCAACACAGTCAAAAATAAATAAATAAAAATTTAATAAAATAGAGTAAAATGTTTATTACTAGGGGATAGGGGATGGGGGGATAAGATAGATGTTATTTAAGGGTACAAACTTGCAAATAAGCCCTAGAGATCTAATGCACAGTATAATGAATATAGACAACAATATTGTACTATCTATGCGATGTGATAAATATCACTACAAAAGCTATCATATTACAGCATATAAATGTGCCAAAGTAACACGTTGTACACCTTAAATTTACACAATAAGTCAAGTTTATAAAATTTAAAAAAATAAAAGAGAAAAAACTAAGAAATTAAAAAAAAAAAAGAGGTTAAATAGGAGGCCCAGAGGGGATGGATAACAATGAGCCAGGTTGTCAAGGTGACCACATTTACATGCAGTGGAAGAGCATCTTCTTTACTTAAACCCTCAGTTAGAAGCTATCTTTTCATGCCAAAAAGAATTTTAAAATAAGTGAACTTTAATCAGTTATAGAAGTAGCAAGCATTTCCCACAAAGAGTGATAAAGACCCAAACATAAGAAAGTAACAGAGCAGTGTGGTCCAATAAGAGTGTGAGACAAAGCAGAGCATCAGCAGAGCCTTGACAAGGAGAGAAGAGTTATGTGTACTGGACTAAAAAACTTATTTTAGCCCTATTGGCTAAGAGTTTTCACCAGCTCCTTAGTGAAGAGAAATTGGAATTTAACCTCAAAATTCTAATGTTCATTTTTTTTTTTTTTTTTTTTTTGCGGTACGCGGGCCTCTCACAGCTGTGGCCTCTCCCGTTGCGGAGCACAGGCTCCGGACGCGCAGGCTCAGCGGCCATGGCTCACGGGCCTAGCCGCTCCGCGGCATGTGGGATCTTCCCATACCGGGGCACGAACCCGTGCCCCCTGCATTGGCAGGTGGACTCTCAACCACTGCGCCACCAGGGAAGCCCTAATGTTCATTTTTATAGGACTATTTATATTTGCTTAAGTTAACATTCGGTTCTCTTATTATCCTAAAAAATTCTTAACTAAAAGGACTGCTGAGATAAATATATGTATAGGATGCATGCTACCTTATTGTAGCAATCAAAATTCTAATTCCAAGAGGAGACAAAATCAGCTCAATGCTTCACTCAGAAAAGAATGTATTTTAGTTAGAGTGTACAACATACTATATTTGCATGAGAAACAGTGAAAGAGAGAGGAAGATTGAACTAATATGTGCAAAATGAAGAGTGCTCATAGGACTTCCTTTTTAGTCATGTGTTGATTATTTATCTTTATTTCTTGAGTTGTGAAACATAATATTTTTGCAGAAAGTACTTAAAACATATGTATAGATTGCCCAATGATTTTAAAGCAAACACCTATGTAACTACCATCCAGATCCAAAAAAGAGAACATAAGCAGCAACCTTGAATACAGTGTGCCCTTCCCCACCCATAGCCCCCTCCCTCAATAGTAACCACTTTTAGAAAAATCACTTCCATGGTTTTCATTATAGTGTTCCCTCCAATTTGTCAGTCCATAAATAAGGTTGTTTTCATTTGACTTTCTCCTTGTTCTCAGTATTATATATTTAAAATTCATACATATTGTTGTAAGCAGCTTTATTTTTCCTGCTGTATAATATTTCATTGTGTGAATATATCATGATTTTTTAAGGAGTTTATCTTTTTCATCTAAACTTTCAAATTTAATGACATAAGGTTTTTAAAAACAATATCTTCTTATTTCTTTTTAATGTCTGAAGAATCTGTAATATCATCTTTTTCATTCCTGATATTGGTTTATTTTTTTTTTTCTCTCTCTCTGTCTCTCACTCTCTTGGTTGATTCTCACCAGAAGTTTGCCAATTTTACCAACATTTAAAATTCATTAGTTGCTGCTCTCTTTCTAATTTTCTATTTTCTAATGTTTTGGGAGTTTATTTTGCTGTTCTTTTTCTAACTTTTGAGATAGATGATGAACTCATTAATTTTCAGCCTTTCTTATTTTCCAGTTATGTGTATAAGGTTACACACTTTTCTCTAAAGACTTCTTTAGTGGTGTCTCATATGTCTGAGATGTGATCTTTTCATTATATTTTAGTTCAACATAATTTTTATTTGTGTTCTGATTTTTTTCTTAGAATTGTATTTAATTCCAAAAAATACGTGAACATACCTTGTATGATTTCAATCCTTTAAAAATTATTCAGACTTGTTTTTCGTCCTAGCTTTTGATCAGTTTTTGTAAATGTTCCACATATGCACTTGAAAAAAGTATGTATTCTGCAGTTGTTGGGTGTTATATCATATACATATCTTTATATGTCCATATACATAAATCTTTAAAAATCATGATGTTAAAATCTTTTATATTTTTACTGATTTATTTGGTCTCCATAGTCTATCAATTACTGAGAAAGGTATATTAAAATTTCCCATTATGATGTGGATTTATCTATTTTTCTTGAAGTTTTGTCAATTTCTGATTTATATATTTTCAGTCTATGCTATTGGAAACATACAAATTTAGAATTCTTATAGCTTCCCTATGAATTGAACCTTTTATCATTATGAGGAGACCCTCTTTATCTCTAATAATGATTTTGACCATAATGTCTATTTTGTGTCATATTAAAGCAATCACTCTTTCTCTATACACACATATACCTATATGTATATAATACCTATATGTATATAATAATGCATATATGTATATACTATGTAAATACATATAAACATATATGTGTGTATATGTATTTACATAGTATACACATGTACATGTGTATATACAAGATATATACACGTGTGTGTGTGTGTGTGTGTGTGTGTAAAGCTATACCAGTTTTCCTTTGGTTAATAGTTACATGATTTTTTTCATCCTTTTACTTTGAATCTTTCTTTAAACCTTTCTGTATTCTTACACTTTGTATGGATTTTTGAAAACGAAATCTGACAATTTTGTCTTTTAACCAGACAACATAGCAGTTAGTTCATTTACATTTCATATAACAGTTCACAAAACTGGGTTTTTTTAAGATCTATTATCCTATTTGATGGTTTCTGTTTGTTCTGCCTACTGTCTGTAGCTTAATAAGAAGCTCCCTCAGCAGATCCTAGCTCAGTGGAAGGACATAGTGCAGATGAGATCCAGAGGCTCCCATTCAATAAGGCCATGTTCTTGACCAGGAAGTTCTCACAGTTGCAGAGTTGAACTGGTGTCCCCTGCCTCCTTCCAAGTCCCTCATAAACATATAGAATTGCATAGCACAGGGCCCTCTGGAGCTCGGCTTCTCAAGCTTGCCTCTCTATGGGATAATGAGAAATGGGGCCTGGGGGGTATTTTCATCTGCTCCATGCCTTCAAGTTTCCCTAAAAAACCTGACTTTAAATTTATGTCCTGTCATGCTAGTGGTATATGTGTGAATGCTGCTTTGCCCAACACCTTTCTTACTTTCTTTTTGAATGATTATATTTTATCTTTTTTTTTCTTTTTGGTCTTCTATTGATTTGGCAATTACTTTCTTTGTCTATTATTTTACTAATTACTTTAGAACTTACAATATGCAAAGTTAACATATCAATGTCTGAGTTTCCTCAATACCTTTACCCTCCTCCTGGAGTGATAGCAGGAACAACAACAAAACATGCTGGAACTCAATTCCCTCCACACCTACCAAATTAATATATTTTATATATTTTTGCAGTTGTGCATCTTAAATATCTTTTGAAAAATATCCCTGAGACATTATTATTAATGTTTATACAATCAGTGATTATTTTATTTAACCAAATATTTACCATTTTCTTTTCTCTCCATTCCTTTGTGCATCTTGAATCATCCTTCTCTGAAAAGCATATTCTTTAGCACGGTGTTTCTTAAACTATTTGTGGTATAGGACTTTTTTTTTTTCTTTTAATCATCACAGACTAATTTTTTTAAGTACAATAATATGAATTAAATTAAGCATGACAGGACTTCCCTGGTAGCACAGTGGTTAAGAATCCACCTGCCAAGGCAGGGGAAAAGGGTTCGAGCCCTGGTCTGGGAAGATCACACATGCCGCGGAGCAACTAAGCCTGTGTGCCACAACTACTGAGCCTGTTCTCTAGAGCCCATGAGCCACAACTACTGAGCCCACATGCCACAACTACTGAAGCCTGTGCACCTAGAGCCCATGCTCCACAACAAAGACAAGCCACTGTTATGAGAAGCCTGAGCACTGCAACGAAGAGTAGCCCCAGCTCATGGTAACTAGAGCAAGCCCGCACTCAGCAACAAAGACCCAACGCAGCCAAAAAATAAACAAATAAATAAATTTATTAAAAAATGCATAAATAGGGCTTCCCAGGTGGCACAGTGGTTAGGAATCCGCCTGCCAATGCAGGAGAGAGCGGTTCGAGAAGATGGTCCGGGAAGATCCCACATGCCGCGGAGCGGCTGAGCCCGTGCGCCGCGACTGCTGGGCCTGCGTTCCACGACTACTGAAGCCCACGTGCCTAGAGCCCATGCCCCGCAACGCGAGAGGCCACCTCGGTGAGGGGCCCGCGCCTCGCGACGGGGAGTGGCCCCGCTTGTCGCAGCTAGAGGGAGCCTGCGCTCAGCAATGAAGACCCAATGCGGCCAAAAATAAATAAATAAAAATTTTTTAAATTAATTAATTAAGTGTGACAATTAAATGAAGAAAACAGAGATGAAATACAAGCCCCACATTTTCAT